TTTGTGTGACCTAAGCTCATTAATATTTTTTTTTCTAGATTTTAGAAACTAACCAAGATATAGTCAGTAAAACGGTTATTTCAATATTAAATGATAATGATGATACATTTTACACCAATTGTCATCGAATTTCATCCATTATTCAACCTATTAAAGAGGCGATAAATAACCTGGAGGCTCGTACAGCAAATCTTGCAGATTGCTTTATTAATATTGTAAAGTTAGCTGCGGCTATTAACAGAATCCCTATGAATAATACTATCTGCGAACTAGCTATAGCTATATTTAACAAACGTTATGCAGAATTTGATATTGAGCCATATTTACTTGCTTATTTTCTGCATCCGGGTTACAGAGGTATGTACGTATTCAAATTTGAAACTAGCTCTAATAATCTAAATACGTATAGATAGTAATTTTTTTTTTTTTAAATTAATATTTTTAATATGTATACATATGTATATGCAGGTCTTGGCTTACAAAAAGGGATGCTTTGAGAAATTTTTGAGATTGCCGTTAAGTTCTATAAAAGTATTCACTATAACGAAGCTGCATGCCGCCAGATGACTACACAACTTATTAATTATTACAATAATGAGTATCCATTTGACTTCAACTATGATTTTTCAAAATCACCTAGTATGTGGTAGGGTGTAGTTGAAGACAAATATTCTAACCTTCAAGATTTTGCAAAAATCGTTTTTGCAATAGTGCCTTCACAAGCAAGTTGTGAGCATAATTTCTCTATTTTAAGATGGCTATATGGTATATACCGATCACGGTTATCACCTGAACGGTTAGAAAGCATGGCTCAAATTCACTCTTTTTACATCTCTGATCTCAAGGACGAACTTAAATTTTATGGAAAAGAGTTATCAGAGAGTGAACTTCGTGATAGTGCATTAACTCAAACAACCTATGCGACAATGGAAAATAATGATATAATTTTGGAATCAAATAATATTTTAGAATCTTTTCAATTTTCAAATAATAAGAATCTTGAAATTGAATCAATAGTAAATTTGTCGAGTACAACTTTTGGCGGACAAGGTACTGTTAATGAAA